CAAAGAGACAGTGGGAGGCCTCCATTTCCCATACTATAGCCAATGCTTCCCTGTATTTCTTCTGTAAGTAGCAACTATGAATCAGTGTAGTGTACATGACAACACTCGGTTCCTTCCCAGAATGTTTGAACCAATCAAACAGACTTTCCACGATGTCAAATTTCCGAATCCTAGTGCAAACTTTCATAATAGCAGTGCAGTCCTGCTGAGTCAAATTCAAATCTTCTCTTTCCCCAAGCTCATCCAATAAGCTCTCCACAAGCATATATTTATCCGGATTCTTGCCAAGCTCCCATATTAATTTAGCATAAATGCATGGATCCAGCATTCTTTTCCCATCCCTGGCGATCACGAGAAGCTTCCAGGCAAGATTTAAGCTTCCGCCTCTGATAAAACCTTTCACCATAGCTTCCATTACGCCCTTCCTTGCCAAGCTAACGAACTTCTCCAAGTTGAACGGCATTTTCAAGTCATGGTGCCTTGCTAAGACCTCGACAGTGGAAGCCAAAATGCGATCATCCGGGAAAAGATGAGGCTGCTTCTGAGCCCAACAGAGTGTCTGCAGAGCTCGCTCTGGAAGACCCATGTGACCCAACTCTCGAATTGTCAAAGACAGAGAACCTTTACGCAAAAATCGACCCCACTTGTTGAGAACCAAACACACCTCTTCATCTGAAGCAAGGCCCTTGATCTCTCTAGCCAAACCAATCAGAAAACTCGGGTTCTTGTAGACTAACTTCGATACGCCTGCCCGTGACGAAGAAACCATCTCGGAAGCCGGTTTAATACGTTTTTTCGGCGTAGGGAGTCCCAACGGACGTAGCTTGTAAGGAAGAGGCAGAGGCAGAGGCCTCTCCCTATTCAACTTCCCAGGTTTCTGTGGAATTCTCCCCTGAAAAAGAGATGATATTGCTTCAATCTCATCCGGCTCCCATACAATGTCACCGCCTTCGTGTTCTTGTTCTTGCTCTTCATCTTCTTCCTCTTCAGTTGAATCATAGGTGTCGCCATGAATTGACGAGTCCTTTTTAGATGGGTCGGCGCTAACACCAGGCTTCTTCAAGAACAAATTAACGCCCAAGTCTGGAGGAAGCTTGGATCGTCGCGGATAGCGAAGGTTCTTGGGTAACTTTTTACGCCGAGTCGTGCCTGCGTTGGATTTAGCCAACCAAGCGACGCGGGAGATTCTTGACAAATTCCTTTTCAAGGGGATGACGGGATACGAGCTGATGGACAGAAACGTGCAATTCATTAGCCCGAATTTAAACCAAATTGTGAAATTCGAAAATCTTCGTATCGGATTATGTAAACTTCACAAAGTGAAACGATATCTGTCCGGTTCAGTGTCTCGCAGACATTTCATCGAGCACTTGGTCGCTTCCATCTACCCAACTGGTGGAGCTTCCATGTCCGGCTGCCATGTCCAAGGATGATCAACAATTTTAAGTCGTAACTAAATTTTATTTGATAGTGTAGGTTTAGATTATATTAAATCCTTTAATTTAATATTTAATTTCATAAAATTAGTAATACAAGTAAATAAAAATTTAATCAAAAATCCATCTGCTAATTTCTAAATAAATTAAACAAAAAAAAAAAAATATAATCCTAATTAATTTCTTACCAAATTTCCCCTGTTGTGGGCTCAGAGTTAAAAGCCCACTGTATGAAGGTTCTAATCCAATACGGCACCGTATTGTGAAACCAAACCCAATACGGCACCGTATTATGAAAGAAAAAAATAAAGAGGAAATCACCAGAGAGAAGAAGCACACAGAGAAAACACAAGAGCCTAAGCTTGAGACGCACGCAGCAAATCAGGAACAACCACACGGATAGATGACGTGGCATGAAATTTCTAAATCCCGCCTAAACCCCCGATTTCATTTCGTGTGCAATTGAATTTCAATTTCCCCAAACTTAATATCTCCGCCTTTGGGCGTCCCAACTCACTTCCCATCTCTATCTTTCTCTTTCTATCTCTCACGTACAACTCTCTTTCTCTCTCTCAACACACATACAAACCCTAACCCTATCTCTAGCCCACCAACAAGGTAAGCTCCACTGCCTCCTATTGATTTCCCACGATTTTTCACGATTTTCATCGTTTTTTGCTGTTTTCTTAGCTGATCTGCTGTTTTCGTTCCAGGATTTGTCATGAAGGGCGGTAAATCCAAGTCAGACACTAAGAGCGCTAAGTAAGCTTTTATTAGATCTCAATTTTGTTTCCTTCCGATTTCTTCGTCTTTCAACCCTCTATTCTACAGAAAGTTTGAGGATCACGATCTCTCAGATCTTAGATCTATGCAAACTTATGTTCGCTTTATTTTTTATTTTTTTATCTCTGTGGTTTCTGAAGTAGTTGTTCTGCATGATCAATAGGCTCTCCGTGAATAAGAAGCCAGCGAAGGGAGGGAAGAAAGCGGGAAAGGCAGCAAAGGATCCAAACAAGCCCAAAAGGCCTGCCAGTGCTTTCTTCGTTTTCATGTAAACCCCGCAATCCTTGATTTTCTGTCTTCTGTATTCTCCGTTTGTTTCCATGGAAAACGTATTTCCAGTGAAAGTTTTTCCTCTCAGTAAGAATCATTTGAAGGTGAGAATATGAAAAACTCCTTTTATACATAACTAATAAAAGCTCATGACAAACATATACCGTTCTGATTATTGTTGTTAAAGTTGTACGTGAAGAAACTGTTTATCTGGCGAGAACGCTTGATTGTTTTTCGAATTATGCTTAACATGTTAGTTTATTTTCAAAGCATATCATTTGTTTGAATGGCAACGTTTTTTTGTTGATTTCCTAAATGAAGGGAGGAATTCCGTGAGCAATACAAAAAGGATCACCCGAAGAACAAATCCGTCGCTGCGGTAAATGATAATTGATTTTTGTTTGTTTTTGCCAACTTGTATATACGTAGCCAGTTTTATTATATTCAGATAATTTATTGCTCAATTTTAGGTTGGCAAGGCTGGTGGAGATAAATGGAAGTCCTTATCTGAAGCTGTAAGTGGTCTGCTTTATGAAGCACCTTAGCTTGTGCTTCGAATTTTCTAATTAATTTGGAGTGATATTTTTAGGAGAAAGCACCTTACGTACACAAGGCTGAGAGACGCAAGGCTGATTACGAGAGGGACATGAAAGCATACAATAAGAAACAGGTGACTGTGCTCACATGCTTGTTTTTTTTTTTTCTTTTGGTACTACATATGTTTGTCTAACATTTCAGCTGGGTTGGTAATCATTTATACCATTATTGATTAAAAACAAATCAGGCTGAAGCACCTAAAGAAGAGGAGGAGTCTGAGAAGTCAATGTCAGAGGTGAATGATGAGGATGATGATGATGCTAGTGGAGAGGTTTGTTTGATTGACAGTTTTCTGGGTGATGCTAATTATACTGCCTTTAGTTGTTTGTTGAAGTCTATTTTGATCTTGTGCAGGAAGACGATGATGAGTAGGAGTTGGCTTGGCAGGGAGGATAGCGTTAGTCTTGTAGGTTGTGACAACGTTGTGTCTCATCTTATGTAATGCTTTGATGTTCTGATGTTACTTTTAGATACTTCTCTAAAAAAATGTATCTCTGTTCTCTATCATTTTCCCCTTCCCCATCAGAAATTTATAGTTGTAGATGGGATATTTCCTGCTCAATGTGCTTTGCTACACAGTTCAATGATTTAGTTAAGAAGTTTCATCTTGTGTAGAGAAGCTTTGTTCCCCCTCTTACATTTTTTATGATAAACTGCTTTCCATACGTTAAATATGCTGTTAGTTAATATTGTTGACTAGAAATGATGCACTTTGCACTTCATGTATATAGTTGTAATGGTACAAGAATGCGATGCACTTTGCACTTCATGCATACAGTGATCCCATGTGGCTGGCCTGAATTTGAAAAGCCAGATATTCAATTTTGTGATGCGGTTTTTCTCCCGGGTTATATGTGCGTAATTTCTGGATGATTTCTTTTCCTTGGTAGAGATTGTTTATTGTCATGCCATAAGAATTTAAGAGAGTCCCGAGCAGAAATCTCTGCATTATCCAGTCAATATGGGATCTTTGGTTTACTTGGATTAACCAAAATATTATTGGTGGAAGTATGTTTGATTTTGTCTGTGTTTGATTCTGGTTTGGATTTTATGACCAGTTTGTAATGGGTGCGCTATATATTTGTTGTCAAGATTTTGATCCCTATTGCCTACTGGTGCTGTCCCATCGTTTTATTCTCATGTTATATGTCTGGTGAATATTGGATCCTCTACTTCCCTACAAAATAGAACATGACCCATTCTGTTTGCTGATTTTATTGATATTTGGAATTTGTCTGACTCCTTGAATTTTTTATTGCCTACTTGTTTCTTTATCTAAGTCGGTTGACAAATTTCTCAAGGGCCTCCATATGAAATTTTAAACTGTGTCAAGCAGTGGCAATGATTGCTCGGGTTAATAAGGGTTTGCATGATCAATTATCAATATGAGTTACCGTCATGTAATGCTGTGGGTGTTAAAGTTGTGCGTTTCAGTGGTAGTGTCAGTTAGATTCTTGCATGTTACAGAAAAAAGAGCAGTTAGTGCACAAGAGGACGACACCTATTACCTGGTGAATGCATGGAGTTTAAAATGCTAGTGACAAAAAGGGATTTCTCCTTCTGACTATATTTTTATCTGGGCTTATTCAATTTTGAGATTCTAATTCTTCCCCACATATTTGATTTCATGTTACTTTTTGCCAAATATAGATTCCTTAGCTTTTGGGTAAAACTAGTTTGCAACCTGTGGGCCGGCATAAAAAATTGTCAGCTAGAGTTGAAGATAGATGATGTCTGCAGCCTGTTGAACACTAAATCTCCGGCTAAAATCATCCTCCAACTCGATAGGTCAGTCAGTCTCCCAAGTCATCATAAATGTTGTTTATAGTCATTTTCTGCCGGGTCGAGTGATTGTTAGATCGTTTCTTGCTTCTTTCGTTTTTCTTTTTTGATTTTGGCCCTATATCAGGGCATGGTTTTTGCTGGAGCCCCATGAATTTAAAATAGTTGCGGATTTGGCAGAAGCAAATAGCTGCTGCCTCGGAGGAATCCTTTTTGAATAAAAAAGTACTTTTGCATTCTCATGCATCACTACTACTCCGTTAATGGTGCGAATCTCGTGTTTCTGCTTGAAAATAGATTACAATAATCGTTTTTCAGCCATTTTCTAGGAGTTCAAATGAACAGACATGCATGTTAAACATGTGGTATTATATTATATCCTTGTCACATCCTGTCTCTGTGTTTTTTGTTTGGGTGTACGTCAGTCAATCTCCTTCAAATACATTAACATTGCATTTCTAATCATCATCATCAAAAAATTAGTAATCTCCAAGTTGTTTGCATTATTATATAAGACGGATTATCTCACGATGAACATGTCTTCTGCACATCTACTGTCCCGTTTGTTTTTCATTTTTGTTTTTAGGAATGTACTACAGCATGTCTGAGTGTAAAACTTTGCTCTAGTTTCTTTTTAAGACATGGTGTAAATAATATACAACACGCAGAAGTGGATGCCAATCGTACCAAAATTTTATGTGAAATTGTCACTTGAAATGATTAGTTATTTTTTATTTGAATTTTAATTAATTATATACATATGTTAATTAAGTAATACATTTTTACTAAATAAACATAATTTTAACATACACTGAGTCGAATTTATATATATATTTTTAAAACAAAAAAATTAATGTGGTTATTATAATTTAGATGAAAGATCAATTTGAATAAAATAAAATTTTAAGATTGTTATCAACAACCTGTGTATTAGTTCAAAGATTGAAAATTAAAATTGTAAAGTTTTTGGGTTACGGTGATTAATTTAAATTTGTATTTTTTTGTGTTACGATTGTATATTAGATTTAGTGAAAATTAAAAACTTTCAAATAAAATATTTAAATATTTGTATAACGCATATACTTAAGAGTTAAAAGAATAAAAATTAACATAAAATTTTCACTTACACAATTATTAGAAATTTAAAAAAAAAGCATAAAAAAGTTCATAAATTTGTGAGATTTAAATATGATTGACTATGAAATTATCAATGCATCACAATTAATTAGAATCCTTGACAGAAATTGTCAATCAAATGATTGTATGTTTATATACACACACACACATAAAGTGCAAGTGCAAAAACCAAATCATGAGAAGAGGGAAAAAATTTAACAAAAAAGAAAGAAACTTTGAAGAAGATGAGGAACAAGTGTAATAAGATGATATGAAATCCTTGGAAGAGACCCACCAAGAAATCTTTAATTTCAGAAAAAAAAAACCCAGATTTGAAAGATTGCAAGAGATGTCTGTCTTGTTGTGATCTGCTCAAGATGACGATTTGTTTGGTACACCCACCAAACATCCACACATTATTACAACAAAGATTCTCTGTAATCTCCACTCTCTTCATGCTGTTGCCCTCTCTCTGTCACTCCCCCTTTTCAATCAATCATATATAGCAGAGGGAGGAGTTAATTACGCCTCTTTCAATGAAATTACATGGTGACTAAGAAGTGAAATTAAGACACCTTTGATTGCGGGTGTTTCCTTTTCGTGCTCTCTCTGTTTGTAAATAAAAGGTAAACCCGCCAGGTTCAGTCTCTATTTCTTCTGCAACTTTCGTGCTTCTTCTTCCTCTTCTTCTCTGGGGAATATATACCTGAGGCTAGGTAGAGATGATGGAGTGGCAAAACGAAGCAGAGCAAGTAGAGAGTGCACAGAGTCAAAATTGGCTGAACGTGAAGGTGATGACTGACGATCAAATGGAGTTATTGAGAAAGCAGATCTCCATTTACGCCACCATTTGCGAGCAGCTTATTGAGATGCGCAAGGCTATCTCCGTCCACCACGACTTTCCCGGTCTCCTCTTCTCTTTTCGCTCTTAATATTTTCTTCGTTCTCATATTTAATCTTCCAGGCTTACTTTGAATCATTTCGCTGCTTTGAAATTGAATTCTCTGCAATACGTACGAATTCCTTTCTGAAATAAACTTAATTGCCCGTTCAGTTTCAACCTAATTTTTGCGCGCGAAAAGTTTTCTCTCATCTTATTCAAATGATAAATTCAGGGCTTTAGTTGACTCTGCCATATCCGGAAATTCAAACATTCAAAATCACAAATAAATAGAATAAATCCCTCAACTGTGTATAAATATATGTATATATATATGTATATCTAATTATTTTGTCATATTTTTATGATAAGATTAAAAAGTATTTTCATTTTCATGATAAGGAAGTTAAAAGAAATTAAAATCGAATTAAGAGTGAACAGGAATGCTGATTGGATTGTACCGTGTGTGTTAATCAGGGATAAGAGTCGGGAACCCTTACTGCTATCAACTGGTTGGGTCGGGCGGGCACAAGATCAGCACCAGGCAACGATGGAATCCGACAAGCATGCAGCTCCAGATCCTAGAGAGTATATACGAGCAAGGCAACGGGACTCCCAGCAAGCAGAAGATCAAAGAGATAACCAATCAACTAGCCCAGCACGGTCAGATTTCTGAAGCCAATGTCTACAACTGGTTTCAGAACAGAAGAGCTCGATCCAAAAGAAAGCAACAGTTTCAAAACAACATCATCCAATCACAATCCCCTCAACTTCTCGACTCTCCTCATCCCACAGATAAGAAGACAAGATCTGCAGATATTATCCACTCCTACGAAAATCTCTTCTATCAAACTCCAGATCTAGGTATATTAATCTCATGTAAATTTGTGAAGGTGAAGCTAAATCCCGGTATGGATGGATCATCATGTTTCTGCTTTGGTCTTTGTGTTGTGTGGATGCAGGGATAGAGCATTTGCTTGGTAAAATGGAAGCTCCTCCGAGTCTCACTTCCTACTGCCTTGTGGAACCATATGACACGGTTGGTTCATCATCACCCAAAGCCTTTATGTAAAGGAAATTCATATATATATACATATGAGTGTCCTATTTATATATAACTGAAATTAACTTCCTCAGATTAGCTAGAATTCACTTCTGCTTCTACTCTGGTTGCAGTCTAACTGGCTTCCTACGGCTTTAGATTATTTATCTCGAAAATCTTTAATCTTCCTCTTCCATATTGATATATTGAATACTGTAATTTCTGATCAGGGTGAGGATGAAAATCTTTTATACTGCATTTTAGGCCTTCAATAATACTGAGTTTGAAGTCAAAATCTTTCTGTGTTGCTCTTCAATTTCGACCTTAATGGTTTACAATCGAACCTGCCATTTGATTCAATTAGATTATGGGACTCCAATTTGATATGATTCATAAAATTTAATGTGATTGTTAGATAACATTGGTAAAAACAAAAATTCTAAATCATATTCTGTAATGAAAATCTTCTATAAAGATGACTGAAACGAAGAAAAATATATATCGAAAATAGTTGAAATGAGTGAAAATCTCATAAATTGCAACTACGAAATTAAAATGTATAGTTCTAGTGATTTTAAGGTGCACAAACGAGGAGTTAGCGGAAGGAGAGAATCGAAATCTGTTAGAAAACTGAACTCTTATATGAAGAAATATGAATAATTGATCTGTAACCAAGTAAAACCACAAAATTACAAATATGAAGCCAATTATTCCAATGTACATACTGTCTGGGCCAAGGTGCATCAAAATCGATAAAGTTTACATTTAATATAGAACAACTTTTTATCTATGTATAATTAAATTTTTTTCCGACTAAATTATTTTTCTCATGAAACTCGTCAAAATATGATAATTTTGATTATTACGTAGCCTTTTTCTCATCATACAAATATTTGAAGAATAAAAAAATATCAAAACTGTTAAAGTAACCAAATTAATAATCAGTGTATAATTTTTTAATTTATTTTATTTTTAAAAATAAAAATTAACATTATTAATTTAAGTATTATATGTTAAATTTATTCTCATGTGATATTTTTTTATTATCTTAAATTTTAATTAAATAATATATTGTAGACTACATAATATCATATATAACATTAAAAAACTTTTAGTTATGAACCGATTCAAACCGGTCCATAAATAAAAAATCGAACCGGTCTAATTTTTTTTAAATATAAAGAACAAATCCCTATTTTACTAAATCCCCCAAAGTCAAGTCTTTTTCTCCTCCTCCTCATTCTCCCCCCAAATCCCAAATCCCTAATTTCCTAAAGCTTCAGGCTTGCAGAGAGAAAGGAGGAAGGAAGCTTTTACGATTGTGGAGGAAGCGGTGAGGGCGAGGAAAGGGGAACTCTCTGTCGCCCATCGTCTTCTTCATTGACTAACCACCAGAACTCTCTGAGTTCTTC